TAGTTTTATGTCTAAATAATTCTTGCCATTCATTTTTCAATACACATGTTGATGAGTGAGCTATCAATATCTAATCAATTTGATTTTCTTACAAATTGTTTTTACATGATATACTCTAAAAATAAACAACTCAGATTATCAAAATAAAACTTGAATTAGGCCACACGCATGCACAATAGTGAATGTTGTGCTTCACGCACAATAAACGCCCCAATGTCAATAGTCTCAAACAAATTATCAAAATATCCTCTGCTTTTTATTCTTTTCTGGTTAGTTTTCTAATTAACTAAAAAAAATTGAAAAATACCCTCTTTTGTTTCTTGTTATCCTTAACTAACCAAAAACAGAAAAGGAAACAAAAAAAGTCTTGTTTTCTCAAGATTCAGCTAAAAAACATTCTTCCACATTTCTATTTGTTTTTTTAAATGTCCGTATTTAACTACTAATACAGCTTTACAGTCAATTAAAACAATTAGGATTAAAATAACCATTAAGACATGTTTGAATAGTAAGATTATAGTATAGGATTGAGAGTGTTAGTCCATAGAACTCACAATCCCATATTTGATTGTAAATTTTATTAAATAGATTACATGTACGACAAACATTCAAGCCAGCAAATTGGTAAATTTTTAAATTAAGAGAAGTTGGGAATCATAATTTCAATTATGAAAGAAAAAAAATGATATATAATAAAATGGTTATCTCACTAAAAAGCTATGCAAAGTGAGATCGGCTTTTTTAGTAATTTTTTTTAACTATGTCCAAAAAAAAATTAAAATATATTATATATATATATATATATATATTTAGAGAAAATGATTTAATAACTTGTATTAACTTTTGAAAGAAATCTCACATCCCAAACATCAGATGTGAAGTGTTGTTTGGGAGCGATTTCTTTCTCTTGCCACCGTATAATCTAATTCCATTTTTTAGTATTCTTTTAAAATCTAAAAGAAGTTAATTCCTTTATTTGATTTTAGAGTTTTCAATATAATTTTTGAGATTTTAAAAATACAAAATTTATGAAAAAATATATAAAAACAAAAATTCAATAATTTTTTTTTTCTATTTATTGATGTTTTTTAATTCCTTCACAAATATTTTAATTTTTAAGTATATTTAGATTAGGTCTATTTAAAAAATAATTAAAATATTAAAATATCTCACTAAGAATATAAAAAATAAAAAAGAAATACGATTGGAAAAAAATGGTTGATTATTTTCTTATGAGTTGAACTTGTGACATTTATTTTTTAAATTGATAACAAACAAGTTTTTTGACATTTTAATTTTTTGCCTTTTTTTAGTAGAAAAATATGATTTCTTTAAGATTGTCCCAAACAACTCTTAAGACTATGCTTGTATCTCAAATTTGTTTGAGGTATGGAAAAAAACAAATTTGAAAATGAAATGAGGAAAATTGATTCGAACTTTGATTTTTTTGTTGGTATCGGTAGAAAAGAATTATAAATACAAAAATAATTGTTGCAAGCTAGAAACTTATTGTCTAACAATGCATAGGTATAAGATATAATGGTAAAGAAATAAACAACTAAATGCAACTCTCATAAAGAGAAAAAAATATTCAATATTCAAGTTTTGTAAAGAATAACTGCTACAACTCCTAAATAAAAATGTCCCAAAGTGGCCAACTCAAGTAATCAGTTTATTGGGTAGGAAAATGAAAATGAAAGCATTGTTAAAGAAAAAATTCTTTAGACTTGTTTGGATCATTTTCGTTGGATTTGTTCGGACTAACATATGGGTTTATTTCTTTAAACTTGTTTGACTATGTTCAAGTTTTATTTCTTTAGACTTGTTTGACGATGTCAAATTTATTGTTTGAGTTGCTGGCAATGCACAGGAAAGGTGTTCACATGATTAGTTTTACTATTTTTTTAAAAAATTTCTTCCTTCGATTCTTTTTTGTCTTTGCACCAATGATCTAATAATCACATAAAAAAAAAAAAAAAAAATCTCTCCACAACTTTCAAACTTTAGCATATGGTCCAACAACAATAGTTTAATAACCCCCTTCTGAACAACAATAGAGAACTCATTCAAATTAAAATATAGGAACAAATATAAAAAAATATTAGAGCTTGAAATTATATAAATAGATACCTAATTAAACGGGTCAAGTATGTAATATAAATTATTCATGATGGGCCCAAAGCTTGGCAAATTGTTGTTCGGACCTAATTCATATTAAATAAATAAAATAGGACATAATTAGACGGGTCAAGACGTAACATAAATTATTGGGCATTTATTTCATAAATTTGTTGCATGCCGGGGTACCTGAGTGTGCTAAATAGTTCGAACCCTCGATTTCTTTGATCTAGTTTCAGAGTGAATGCGAAACATAAATGAGAGTCCAAATCCGACAACTTTTATAGAAAATCCATTTTATTGCAAAACCTTTGCCGGAAATAGATTGTATTACCAGATCTCAGAGTCGTCACCTAATCCTTGTAGGAAAACTAGAAAACTTGTGACTCGTGCCAATGCCATTGCTCATCATAACAAAAAATGTCTTAGTTTGGAACCTTAGGTATGAGAGGGGAAAGTCACTAATTAAGAAACCCGCTCACCCGATCAAAAAATCGATTTCTACTAAACCATGTTATGTAGTTTTTATGATTTATATGTTCATATTCATTATTAATAATCTTAAAAATTACTATGTGTAGCAAACAAATATAGACTATGCCATTCATTTTGAAACAATTTGATTTTTATGTATTTTGAAATAGTTTGAATAATGTACAAAACACAGAAGATTGAGTTTACAAATATGAAAATCAATTTTATCTATCACATTTTCTGTGTTTTGTACATTATTCAAAACTCTTTCAAAATACATGAAATCAAATTGAGATAGATAAAATTGATGACAAACAATTATTTTTAATTTCTTGACTTGTTCAAACAAATAACTTCTTCACTTCTTTATTTTAATTTTTTTTTAAAAACTATCATACTTTTATTTCTGATATTATCACTAACAAATGGCTTCATTACAATTTACAGCATTAGAAAATTTTTTTAAAAGAAATGCACATTAATTAACAGTCTTGTAAAAAACTATACATACTTTTATTTCTAGATATTATCACTAACACAATGGCTTCATTAACAATTTACAGCATTAGAAAAGAATTTTTTTAAAAGAAATGGCACATTAATTAACAGTCCTTGTAGTTTGGACTTGTGTCACTTTAGTCTTTTACTTTCAATTATGATACATTTGATCTGAATTTTGAATCTTGTTCTAAACAAAATCAATTAAAGATGTTTCCTTTCCAAATGTTAATTTCAAGGGCAAAGTCGTCATACATTATTTTTGTTGATTAACTTGTATGTGTTTTAAAATGTAATGACCTTTTTTTAATGAATAATGTTGGAACTTTTTTTATTATAAAGTTCTGTTTGGTTTGGTTTGGTTTGATTTTCAGAATCTATTTTCAAAATTTTTTCTAGAAACTAAAAATTGAATTAGTGAAAAAGAATTAAAAATACATCATTTTTATATAATTTTATCTTTTGGGAGGGTAGAGATAATTTTTTGTATTTATTTTTGTTAAATTAGTTTCTATTTTTTCAAAAGTCAAACATGGCGACAATTTTAATGTCATTATTAAACCAATCCATCTAATCAAAAAATTTAAACTAAAAAATTTCATATATTAAACAATTCGATTACATATTAAAACCTAATAACTATCGTTACATTATAACCATCCAAAAATATACAACCATCTATTATGATAAAAATCCAAAAACATTAACAAAAAAAGCCACCTATTATATGATCATCATTCAAACACATTAAAAATTAATTTGGTAAAAAAATAAAAATGTAAAAGATTTATTATTTTTATAATTTTATCTTTGGTGGGTAAAATTAATTTTAAAATAATTTTTTGACATTTATTTTTTTTCAAACTAATTTATATTTTATCAAATTGATAACTTTGCCCTTGAAATGGTGCAAATGTGTCTTTAATTGTCTTTATTATAACGAGATTCAAAATTATAGTCAAATATATCATAATTGAAAAATCAGGTATAAAGTGACACAAGCTCAAATTAACTATTAGTGCAATTCACCTAAAAAAAAAGAAAAGAAAAGAAAGTCCCAATTGGATCTATAAATACATATATTTGGCTATCCATTTGTGTATACAAGTTGATCAGCTCCATTTCTCATCATAATAATATTCTGTTTTTGACACCAAATGGAGCAAACAAATTCAGCCTTTCTCAGTTGTTACTTAGTACGTCGGCTGTACTTTGTTTCATTTTGTTTTTCATGAACTCTCTCGAACTGATTACAGCTGCCAAGGGTGACCCCAGTTTCATTCTCACAAACGAGACAGACCATCAGGCTCTACTTGCAATCAGAGATTTGATACCAGGAGATCCACTTAGTGTCTTCAGATCATGGAATAATTCCATTCACTTTTGCAATTGGCAAGGGGTGTCATGTGGCCGTCAGCATCAGCGTGTCACCAGCCTAAACCTCTCATCTCTGGCATTGATGGGTTTTGTATCTCCTCACATTGGAACCTCACCTTCCTTAGGACGATTGATCTTGGAAACAACAGTTTCAATGGTGAAATCCCTCCAGAAATTGGCAGGTTGTTTCGTCTGCAATATCTTTTTCTTAACAATAACTCTTTCAAAGGTGAATTTCCTGCCAGTTTGACTCGTTGTTCAGACTTAAGAATCATCTACGTAATTAACAACAATCTTGGAGGTAAAATTCCTGCTGGTCTGGGTTCTTTGTCTAAGCTCTTTTATTTGAATTTTGCCATAAATAATCTCACTGGAAATATCCCACAATCGATTGGGAACCTTTCCAGTCTACGTGCGCTTTCTCTAACCCGCAATAATTTAGACGGAAGCATTCCCATCGAACTTGGGCAGCTTTCCAAGTTGGAGTTTCTTCAGCTGTCGGGAAATAATTTGTCCGGTATGTTTCCTGCTTCATGGAGTTTCTTCAGCTGTCGGGAAATAATTTGTCCGGTATGTTTCCTGCTTCACTTTACAACATCTCATCAATCTATTTCATCTCTATCGCTGTCAACCTACTGCATGGAATTCTCCCACCGGATTTGGGCCTCGCCCTTCCAAATTTGAAAATTTTTTTGCTTGCAAGCAATCGATTTTATGGCCAAATTCCATCGTCAATAGCCAATGCTACGAGACTTGTGCAAATTAATTTTGGGACTAATGCATTTACTGGGTCCATGCCTATGAATTTTGGAACCCTTGATGCTTTAGAATTTTTAGGTGCTTATGAGAATTCACTTGGGACAAATCAAGGCATTGAATTAACAAGCTTTCTCACTTCTTTATCCAATTGTTCCAATCTCCGACTTTTGGATTTGACTCTAAATCATTTTAAAGGTTTGTTGCCCAATTCTATTGCCAATTTCTCCACCAAGATCACTTGGTTCGCTCTACTAGGCAACTATATATCTGGAAGCATACCTCTTGATATTGGGAACCTTGTAAATTTGCAAAAACTCTTTCTAGGTGAAAACATGCTGACAGGTAGCATTCCAAATTCCATTGGAAAACTCTCCATGTTGGAAACTCTCGAGCTTGATATAAATAACATTTCTGGAGAGATTCCATCCTCTTTTACAAACCTGACTAGGCTTGGTGCTCTCTACCTATCAACAAATATGATTGAGGGAAGCATTCCTATTTCTTTAGGCAATTGCACCCATCTAGAAAACATTTTTCTTGATTACAATCATCTCACTGGAGCTATACCATATCAAATCTTTGGTCTTACTTCCCTCATTATTGTATCCTTAAGTCAAAATGACCTAACAGGACTACTACCACAAGAAGTGGGTAACTTGAAAAATATGGGTCAATTATTTGTATCAAAAAACAAATTATTTGGAGAAATCCCTGCTACTCTTGGCAATTGTGAAGTTTTAGAATTTCTCTACATGGATGGTAACCTTTTCAATGGTACAATTCCGATGTCCTTCAGACAATTGAGAGGTCTTCAAGAATTGGATGTTTCTACGAACTACTTGTCTGGACAGATTCCAAGATTTTTTGAGGTGTTTCCATTCTTTCAATATCTCAATCTTTCCTATAATATGTTTGATGGTGAAGTTCCGAACAGAGGAGTTTTCACAAATATTAGTGCCTTCTCAGTTGTTGGAAACAGTAAGCTCTGTGGAGGAATTAAACTATTGCAATTGCCTGCATGCCCTATGGAAGTCTTAAATGGAAGAAAACGATCTTTTAACCATAGACTAATAGTTCTAATAGTTACTCTCATTATTGTTCTATTATCATTGTGCATTCTAGCTATTCTTTACCGGAACAGAAGGTCAAGGAAGCGAGTCAATTTAGCCTCACCCTTGAAAAACCAATATCCACAACTCTCTTATGGAGAACTTTTTCAAGCAACAAATGGGTTCTCTCCATCCAACTTAGTTGGTGAGGGAGGATATGGTTATGTCTATAAAGGGATTCTCAACTCTGATGAACAAATTGTGGCTGTGAAGGTACTCAACCTATACGAATGTGGAGCAAACAAGAGTTTCGTAACAGAATGTGAAGCACTGAAGAACATTCGCCACCGAAATCTTGTCAAGATAATCACATCTTGCTCAAGCATTGATTTTAGAGGAAATGATTTCAAGGCTTTGGTCTTCGAGTTCATGGAAAATGGGAGTTTAGAGAGCTGGTTACACTCAAGTCTTTCAAAACAGCAGGAACCCAAAAACTTGAACTTTGTTCAAAGGCTAAACATTGCCATTGATGTGGCCTCGGCAATAGATTATCTTCACAATCATTGTGAAATGACTTTCATTCATTGTGATTTAAAGCCAAGTAATATTCTTCTTGATGGTGATTTGTGTGCCCATGTTAGTGATTTTGGCTTGGCAAAGATTTTTTCAGCAACCACCGGAATATCCAATCATCAGCAATCAAGTTCGATTGGGATTAGAGGAACAATTGGCTATGTTGCCCCAGGTAATTGTTTAGATTTATTATTTCTTACTTTGAAAGTGATTAAGAAATATTATTTAGTTTCATTATTTTTACTTTGCGGTGAACTAAAAACCAATAACGAGATTATATAGAAATCAAGCCTCCTTTTAGTGGTGTTGGAGATGACTTTCCCTGACTTTGCCTAATTGTTAGTTTAGCAACCACAAGAAATTATATCAACTATTGTATACACCTATGGTATTTGAGATAATTTTTATCTTTTGAAGTGTTAAAGATTTTTTTTAATTTTTTTATTATCAAAATAGATCAAATTTACTAGTTTGACGATCATACCTAAACTAAAAAAATTGTGAATTTTCAAGAAATATTATTTAATTTCATTATTTTAACTTTACGGTGAACTATAAACCAACAACAAGATTATACAGAAATCAAACCTCCTTTTAGTGATGTTAGAGATGACTTTCCTTTACTTTGCCTAATTGTTTGTTTAGCAACCACATCAAATTATATCAACTATTGTCCTACACCTATGATATCTGAACATAGATACTAACCCTCGAGATAATTTTATCTTTTGACATGTTGAAGTGTTTATTTTATTTTATTTTATTTTTCATCAAAAGAAACACAACTTACTGGCTCAACAATCATACTAAAATTAAAAATTTTGGGCATTTTTTTTGACTATTTCATGTTGCAGAGTATGGTATGGGTGAGGAGGTATCAACGCAAGGTGATATGTACAGTTATGGAGTGTTACTCTTGGAAATGTTCACAGGAAAAAGACCAACTAATAACATGTTTACGGGCAATGTAAACCTCCATGGCTACGTAAAAATGTGTCTTCCGCAGCAAGTAATGCAGATTGTTGATCCCCAAATCATATTGGAAATGGAAGAGGAGCCAAGTAAGCCAAGTAGGAGCAAGCAATGTAGTACAGCCAACATTTCTAAATTGGAGACTTGCCTTGTACCAGTCTTTCAAATTGGAGTTTCATGTTCTGTTGAAATGCCAAATGAGAGAATGAGTGTAAAAGAAGTTATCAAGGAACTACACAAGATTAGAAATGTATTTCTTGGGGTTAGGGGAAAAAGGCATTAGGATTGATGTTCTAGAATTTTCTTTCCCTCACTTTTCTTCTCTCCCTCCTTTTGTTTTTTGAATCTGTAATTGGTAAGCTAGGAAATACATGAAAGTGGTTGTACTTGTGGAATTGTCATCAAATATTTATAAATAGTTAAGGTTTCTTCTATATGTTATATATATATATGCTTTTATGTATTTTGGTTTATTGTCTCAATCATCAAAAACTCAACAAAATCCACAAATCATACAAGAACAAATTTGCACAAAAATGTATGCATTTATGTAGATTTGAGACACAAAATTGCCAATGAAATTGAGTGAAAATCAAAGCGGTAGAATAGGAGAATATCTCAGATTGTTCATTGGTTACATTCAAAGACTCCATTGCCTTCTCCATTTTTGGATTTCTTGAAAGACTCTAGGGTTCACAGCGGCAAATAGGAGGAGGAGGAAGAAGAAGAAGCAGCGGCGATGCCGGTGACAACGGGCGATGGTGCGAGAAGGGGGGCATGTCACGATGGAGGAGTTGGGGGTGGCAGAGGGTTGTTGCTAGAGGGCTTCATCGATGGTGGAGGTGGGTCTTCTTGTCACACCCTGATTTTGAAAGATTAATTAAGCGAAAACTAATTAACCTAAGCCTGAGGTTTTTGAAAGAAATCTCATTCTCATTCAATTAATTATGAAAATTCTTTTTTCGTTAAACATTTTCTTTACTCTTCACAAGTCAATACAAGAAAATACCATTGATGAAAACTATTAAACCCACTGCTCGTATATTACATTGAATCTAATATTTTTTTTTACAAACATAATGCCCAAAGGCTTACAATAAATGAAAGAGTGTGCCTTTTTACAAACATTTCAAAGAACAACAATAAGCCAAATACATACAAATATGAGTACTATGACTCATCACCAACTTAACTATAAAATGGTAAAACCAGTTGTTTGATCTTCAAGTCTGAAAATATTCTCTGTACACATGTACAACTAAGGGGTGAGCAAACCATTAGCTCACCAAGCAATCTCATATTATAATATTAAAGACATGTGGGTACAATGATACTATACATATACATAAAATCATACCATGCCATAATTTTATGATTTTATTAATTAATCCCTTAAATCCAATTTATTTAATTGACCCCCAACCAGTTAACATCAATAAATAAACATGCTCCAAATATCAACAGAACATCATTTTCAACCTATTCAGTTAACCTATCCCAGTTAAATTAAATAGTTAAACATTTCATGTGATCTCCAACAAAGCATCAATTCCATTTTATTTAATTAACTCTTGCTGGTTAAATTAAATAAACAACAATAATAACACTACCAACATACATACAATCTCATTTAATCAACTCATACTAGTTAAATTAGATAGACAATCAATCAACAAACTATCAACAAACATATACATATCTCATTTAATTAACTCATACTGGTTAAATTAAATAGAGAAAGATTTCCAGTATTTGCCAATAGGGCCTTATATCTAAATTAAACATTTTCAGTAATTGCCAATAGGGCCTTATATCCAAATTATTTAATTAACACACACTGGTTAACTTAAACAATTAAATTTGTAGTTACTTGTCAACAGGGCCACAATTCCAATTTATAATACTCTTGAAGATATGCCCCACATTTTCCAGCCATAAACACAGAAAGGCAATTGGGCACCCATTACAACACATATAAACACATTAGCAATAACATGTCATAATAAAATAAACAACTTGTGGTCTCACCAAGCCCCATATTACCGTCGTGGTCTCACCAAGCGCTATGTCTGCCTGCTTTACTGGATGCTAGTTAGAAGGAACGCATTACCTCTATATAGCACAACCTGCTTTATTGGGTGCTAACCGGAAGGAACACATTACCTCTATATAGCACATTCGTCTGTTTTACCATATACTAGTCGGAAGGAATGCATTACCTCTATATAGCACATCAACCCACTTTACTGGTTGCTAGCTAGAAGGATCGCATTACCTCTATATAGCATAATCACACTTCTATAACATATGCATTTCAAATTGCTTCCATTTATTCTCATCTAATTACATAATTAGACAATCTCACAATGTTTCCACATCATTCCAAATTACGCAAATAAATCATAACACATAACGTGTACTGTTCATTATACAACAACCATTATCATCCTCCACCGATAGCCAATGACAAAACCTCTAAAACAATAAATACCATAAGACTCTCTTAATATTTCCATATACTTTTCAACATTTAGTCAATTATATCAAAATCCTCTTTTGACTATAGTTATAAAATATAATACGAGTGTTCACTTTCCAATTATCAACATTAGCCCCATCAAGTTAATCCAAAGAAATAAATTTAATAACTCAATTTATGTTTTAATCCATGACATCCATTTACTCCAAACAGGCTAAAATCATTTTCCCTTTTATCATAAAAGTTCGCAAACAACACCAAATAATTCAAATATCTTATATATGAATTTAAGGTATAAAAAAATAAAAATAAAATAACACATTTAAAATCCTTCAACTGGTAACCAATTACTCAACTCACTTGACTCAAATGATTCTTTAAGTTCAACTATATTTAACACAAAATCAAATTAACCAAACTAATTTAAACTACTAAATTAGAAAACTAATCATAGTTGTCCAAGGAAATACACCAAACATAATTTAACATTATAGTTATAACCCTATTTCTTGCCAAGCTTCTCAAATAGCTAATTATTCCCAAATGCTCTACACTTGGCAATTTTTACAACTTTTTCAAAATTAACTAATCATCATGATGTTTATATTAAAATTCATGAAATATGCCGAAGAGTACACTTCTTAAAGTTTCAAGTTCAAAAGCTCAAATCTTATATTTTCCTTTCCACAAAAATAAACAAAGATGACAATTTATATATATTAATATTCATCAAATGTCATGAACATAACACCCTTTAGAGTTTTTTTTATCCCAAAACCACTCTGTAATTTCAACTTGACAGTTCTTACATGTGTTCATGAACATAAATTGATTTTCTCAAAAAACAATAATTCAGAGCACTAATTTTGGTGCTCTAATAGAGCGCTGATGACATGGCAATGAGGGAAAATAAAATAAGACCAAAACATCACATCACAGTGGGTGGAACCCACTGCCAGCTCATTAGAGCTGGCTTTCGAGCTCAAGAATTAGAGCTCCAAAACATTTTTCTTTCTCAAATAAATTCCAAAATCAAACATGGAATAACATTTCAACATGATTTTTGTCAAATAAAATAACTAGTCATAATCATAAACAATATATCCGCAATTCAACTCCTATCATGGTATATTTTTCCAAAATAACCCTAACATGGATTTTAAAGCAATAATATGGAGAAAACCCTACCTCTTGAATAGAAGCTGTAACAAATATAGCAAGAAGGAGATGAAGGAGAGTAGAGATCAACAACCAATCTTTAAGATCTTCAAAGATGGCCAAGAGATTTTCAATAATCCCTCAAGCTTACACTAAATATCACTCACTAAAGGTCTCAAATAAATCACCCAAGTGCTAGATCTTATAATGCAAGATCAAGGGTTGATCCCAAACTCACAAAAAAAAGAAAAAAGAAAAAAGAGTTTGGATGAAGAAAGTCAAAACAGAGTAGAAGATAAGTGACTCTTGGTCAGTTGAGAGAAATTGGGGAAAGTGCAAGGAAAATGTTATGGATCCAAATAATGTACTAAATTTTCTATCAAACCTCTCATATAAGTGTAGAATCCATACAAACTCACATGTGTGCGAGTTTCACATTTATGCGAGAGATTTGATAAATTATTTAGGATCCTAGGATAACTCAAAGTGTAGTTGGTCCTCTTCTTTCCCTTACAAAATGTATAAACCCTACAACCCACTTTTTCTTGGAGTGTTGATCATGCATAGTGCAAGCCAAACTAACGATGAAGGGGATGCTGTATATTCGGCAGTCCAAAGGGGAAGAGATGGATCACCAACGAGTCAAAGTCAAGGAATTGAAAGGAGATAGTTTTATACATTTAAAACTAATATTTATTAGTCTTCATTACACCAACCCAATGCATACATATGGCAAGATAACAAGACTAATGAAGAAAATCCAATAACCAAAGAAAAAGTAGCCTCAGGTAATCACGTGGTTTTGTGGGCCAAAGCAAATGGCATTAGTGATGTGTTTGTTTTGTCCCTTAAAATGTACGGAAGTGTTCTTCAAATGGGTCTCCGAAAAGTAATTGCCAAACAATAATGTATTAAGTCCACCAATAAAATATTTATAAGTTTATAAAAATATAACTTCAAAATGAATTCAATCAATTAGAATCCAAATGATTAAAATTTACCAACTTCAAATAAACCTCTAATTTAGTCTTTAGTAGATAATAAATTAAATAGGCTCAAGGTGTTTATAAATAAACTCAAATTAAATTGAATCTAAGTCAAGGATCTTGATTTAAATTCTTACCTGTAAGCCAAACATTGTCCAATTCTTACCCGTAATCAAAATGATTTAATTATATACCAAAATAGATCCAACAAATTTTATCTCAAGTCATGATCTAAACACCCAAAACTAAATGTCAAAATTCTGCATCAATATTAACTTGACACCAATCAGTCTGTATATTTTCATAAAATAAATACCCATCATTTAATCCTGAAATTTTTGTATAGCATGCTACACTCATATGGGAATAACATACAAAAATTTCATAATTTTTTGAGATATGAAACTATTTAAAAATATATATAAAATCAAACCATTTTCACACAGAATTTTACACAGCAGTCTAATCCAAATATTGCTCAAATAATTTATGCACTGAATTTTTTTTTTAAAAAAAATTCTGGATTATTAAACTTCTCCTACCTCTCCTTTGCCTTGCGTTTTGTTTTTATTTTTTATTTTTTAAGTTTTATCTCACAACGACATCGTTTTTACACACTACCAAATGCACTACACAGGTGTGTGCACAACTGAGGAATACAAGTTGTACTTGGTTCATGGATTTGATTAGAAATTTAGAAAAAAAAATTTTAAAAAAAAAGTTTATGAAAGATGTGTCAAATGTAATTATATTTTATCTATTTTTTTCTCTTGCCCTTATGTCATAGTATCATGCTTGTCACGA